AGTATTTTTTTACATTTAGTACTTTACTAAAAGTACGCTTATATTATTTTTAAAGACTATACAAACATAGCGACTATAATGCATAAACATGATTATAGGTGTTTATTATTAATTGAATGCCTATCCAGGTGTACTATGTATTTTTATTCATAGTTTGTCTTAGGCTATGAAATATATATGTTGTATGCAAAATTCTGATGTGAAGTGCGCACCGGAAACAACGAAAAAGGAAACGATGTATGACGTCCTCAACACCTCGAGAAATGATAATTGTAAGAAATAACAATAAGAAAAATTATATAACTATTTTTATGAGAATAAAAAACTAAAATACAAATTATAAAAGTTCAAATGTAATAAACACACTATTGTTAGTAAATTTTATGTTATATAAAACAGTTAAATTGCTCAGCTAATTAATTCAATGAAAATTTAAGGTTTCACTTGAATAAAATTAATTTAATGATATGCTTTTTTTAAGATTCCCTTCTTGATTTTTAATTATTTATCACTAATGAACTACAATATTTTAACAGAATTAGTTTTCGATTTTCTCAAATATTTATTTTAATGTAGTAGTTTCCTTTTTACTCTTATGTGTAGTTTTTAATTTCCTCTTGACATTATTGAATTATATAAATAATTTAACACCTATGAAATAATGCATATAATATAAAGAAGTTTTCAATATAAAGACACTAATATTTATGATGTATTAATGTTTTTAAATAAAATAATATAAAATTCATTACCTCCTTGATTTCCTTGGCTAAATTATTTTGTGCCATAGTAGTTTTAAGTAATAAAAACTGTACAATAGTTGAATAAAAAACATAAATCTTGCTTAAATTTAAAAACTCAATAATATTTAAAACTACCTTACTGGTTATCACTTTTTATTTTCTAATCCCCTATAAACGTTAATTAAAATTATCTTTACAAATTATCATAATTTATTATTTATTTATCTCTATAATATATACATTTTTGTATACACTGTGATTTATTAAGTACAACACCACATTATGCATACGTTAAAAAATAGTTTTCACAAAAATACATAGATTAAAATATAATTTATTTTTATTAACCATTGTAAAAATCAAGTTCATTGTAAGAAAATACTATTCTTAAGTGTAGATTTTATATAGGACGTTGGTAAGATAAGTTGGAACCATTATTTTTTTACTATTAAATGAAGAATAATTAAAATAAACTATACTGGTCGATTGCTAGTTTTTTACTTTTTATTACTTTTTGAGATATAAGCATTTGAAGATGTAGAAAAGATGAGGAATGGGGTAGTTTTTAACGATGCTCTATTTTTAGAATAACACACAGATAAAAAATTATTCACATTACGCATCCCGATTGCCTATAACTACAATTTATAAAAACTCAAAAAGTAATAATATAGTACTGGTTATTGACTTCTTAAAATTTTATTTGACAATTCTTCATATAAATGAAAAATAAAATATATTACATTACGCTTTTGAAAGTTACCCCTACAATTTTTCATTAGGAATCATTTTTTTTTTACAATAAGCTTGAAATTTACAATTTTTATAGAGGTCAATTCAATTTTAATCTACATATTTTATGAAAAATTATTATTCAATAAAAAAAATGGTGAGAAGTATAGTTAATAAATTACATTGTACATTATAGTTTTTATTATCTATATTTACATAAAATTGATCAACATCAAACTTCGGGAGTTTTTGAGTACACTCTTGTAATGATATCTAAAGTGTAAAACTTATAGCTTTAATGTAAATTCTTTAAAATTTAACATTTTTTTCAAATAATATTATACAAAAAACGATTGATATTGTATGTCAAATAAAAATTGCTGGATATATTTTATTTTATTAAGTTTAATCTTAAAAATAAAAAAGACACAATGCGTAATTCGAGTATCGAAATATTTGATTGTAAACGACACCAAATAAATTGGTATAGTGGTTTAATATCCGACTTGATGTTAACCTAAAAAGTTACGGGTGTAAAAAAAATAGACAGTAATAAGATTTTAGAAATTACGCTGGCAATTATTATGCATAACTATACACTTAGTTGAAAATTTAGAGTGACATTTTTGAACTTATGTGTTACTTATCATATTACATAATTTATAATCAATTTGCTTTTAAAGTATAGATGGGTTGGGCTGGACTTCAGTACTTATATTAAAATATTAAAAAAAAAAAAATTCATTCTCTTATGTACATGATTCAAACCAAATATATTATTATTAACATAAAAAATACCTAATAACATTTCATTTTATTAAAAATAAATAATATTATGGTCAAATATTTATAAGTAATTCAGCTAAATTATAATATTTACTAGAATCACGTTAAAATTCATAGATAAATAATGACACATAACCAGTTTTGTTCATAGCCCGGATAGCTCAGTCGGTAGAGCATTAGGCTTTTAACCTAAGGGTCCAGGGTTCAAGTCCCTGTCCGGGCGTTAACTTTTTGAGTTTTTATACAATTTGATGATAGGAGATTAGTGCAAGATATACCTTTGATATTGTTACTTTACATAAAAACTACTAATGTACATTAATTATTATATAAATATTATTAGTTATTATGTACATTATTAAGTAGGACACGGAGTCATATGTGTTTGTACATTTTGTTAAATTATTCCGAAGAGACTATCAGACAGTACAATTTTTTTTAAATTCAATTGAAAACTTATTAATATGTTGTTATCAAATCATATGTTAAAGGATCCAATTGTTACTTTCGAAATAGTGTTCGCAAAATGTTGACGTTTCCGCTCGACTACACCTTATTTCATATGGTGTAGTCAACTATTGCAACAAAAGAATATATTGTTTAATAAAAATAAAAATACTATTAATTATTACTAATAATAAACTTATTTGAAAATCTAGCCATTTCAATAAGTATGGAAATAGATTTTAAAATAACAAAACAATATAACAATAATTTTTACAAAATTTAAATAATATTCTAAAAAACGAAGATTTTCTAAATGTATACTAAATTAAAAGTTAGTATAATAGAACAACAGTCAAATTAAAATTTTTTTTAATATTGCAATAAAATTCAAGAGTTTTACTTTGATATAGGTTAAAAGTGAACAAACGTTCCAAAATATTTTCAAAAAAAAAGCTAAAAAAATTTTTTACATGTGTTAGTTATTGTTAAACCCTTTCTGTACTTGAGTTTTCGATGAATTTTCATAAAATAGCACACAAAAATAAAGCTCATTAAATCCAGTATATTTTATTCAAATTTTATTAAAATTAATGTTTTTAAAAAATTATAACATTTTCAAAAAACAGAAGAATTAAAAATTCTTAATTTTGAGATATTTTTTTTTAATCTAAAAATTAGAGTTTTTTTAATTTCATTTTCGGCTTTGATAGGTTTAACTACAATAAAATCGAATTCTTTTGACTTATATATCAACAAAATCGGTTGAAATTTTTCATGGACAGACATAAAAAAACATGTCCTAGTAAAAATAATATTTTATCAGCTTCACATCAAAACCAAAAAGTAAAAAAAAATTTTTTAACCAGTAAATTTTTATACATAGTGAACTTTAAACCTGTACATTTTAATACACAGGCTGTTTTATGACTATATGAATAATTTCTTAAAAAAATATTTAATAACATTTTTAGGATATTACAGAATGAAAAATAACAACTATTACTGCAGTTTTCAAAAATAGTAACTAAAATATTATTCAATTTTTAATCTAAGCATGATTAACGTGTTATATTTAATCATTACACAATTTTTAATAGATGATACCTACTTAAAGCAATTTTGACACAGAAAAATTTAGCCAAGGAAATCAAGAAGATAATGAATTAAATTTTATATGGTTTAAGAAATTAAAGCATCATAAATTTAAATGTATAGTTAATTGAGATTTAAAACATGATTATATGGTATGCATTATTGTACATGTATTAAATTATTTATATAATTCAATAATATCAAAAGTAATTTTAAAACTGCATATATAAATAAAAAGTACAATACTGTATTCATTAAATTTATTAAATAATGATTAAATTTTTTTTTAATTCCGTGTTATGTTATTTTTTTCAATTTACATTGAATGAAACTTGTACTATGTTTAAAAATCATAACTAGTACTTGAGATTAAGTAATTACACACTCTTCATTATTTTCTTCACTTCTTTCGACAAATCTCTACAACACCTTATAAAATCTTCAAAAAACCTCTATTATACATCTCTGACGCATCAGAGAATAAGTTATTCTGTGTTATAATAGTTTTAAGTAAGTATCATCTACTAATTTTATATAATGATTGAGTATAAAATATAAATCATGGTTAAATTAAAAAATTCACTAATATTTAAATTTCTACATTTTAAAAATACATTACTGGTTGATATTTTTATCTTGTGGTTTCCTGGAAACTTAATTAAAATTAATTTTACAAAATTATCATAATTTTCTATTTATTTATTTATTGGTATTTTTAACTTATTAAGGAAAAAAACTGTCTGACCTATGGTAGAACTTTCTCGATACCCATTGTATAGGTCAAGATGGTTTCATACAACATTATTTTTTTATAAAATTTGTTTCATAAATAATAGAAAATTAATAAATTGGAAAGATTTTGTTAATTTATGAATCATTTTTATAATTTATTATACATTTTTTAAATAAAATACAAACTTTAATAAAATAAAGTTGCAAAATATAATTTGGTTAATTTTTTATTTGTTCGTCTAAAAAAAATAACTTTATTTTATCATTCTATGCGGCTTTGTTATTTAAAGTCCACAAAAGCCGCACAATGAGTTCTGTTTACGTAATAATATAATTGCTGAAAGAATGTGATCGTTATTCATTGCAGCTAGTGAGATATTTCGAGTATAACTTTCAAGTAGACATTTGTCATTATAAGAAATGTTGGGTAATAATACAAAACGATGATGACTGGTATAATTTATATTTGTATAACATTATATTGGTTTTATTTACATAAGATGTAAGCTTACACGGTCATAAATAAATTTAAAAAGACTAAAAAATGATAACGTGTACAAATACATAATATATAAGTATAATAGTAATCGTTGAAATAATATGATTGTGAAATGAAAGATGGAACAGTTTAAAAGAAATGAATACAGATAGATAAAATAAGGATATAATTACTATGTTACTATTATGAATTTTATAGTAATTATAATAAAATGAATACTTAATGTTACTAATATTAAATATTACTCAATATTTAGGTGTTATAATTATCAAAACAATCTATTGTTTTCATACATTGTAGTACTGAATGAAAATTTTTTGTGAATGAGCAACTAGTATAACCTAAAATAGTAGTATTAATAACACGACGATTCATGATATTGTATGATCACCGCGGGTAAGATGGCGTGAGTTTGACAAAATTATTTGAATATATATATAATTAAACATCGTTAATTGTTCTGCTTGACAATTGGACAGTATGATTTGTTCTAATTAATCTTACGTGATAAATGTAATGCGCACGTTTAAATGTCTTCATTTCATACTAATTTTTCATAAATTAATTCAAAAATATTTAATTATAATAACGAATCAATAATAATAAATAATAATCAACGAAGAAAAACAATTATTTTAAATAATAATTATAATGGTTGATTTTTTGAACTCACCAAATACCCAAATAAAAATAATTATATAATAATCCATTACGTGTTTCAATTATAACTATTCAATTTTACGCCATTTTACCCGAGGGACAATAATTTTTTAATACGTCTAATTTGGTAACATGACTACAATATAATATTAATTAAATTGATAACAATCAAAGCCATGTAACCAGTGATTCAGTCAACCACTTGAACAGTGGCGTATGCGCTGAAAGTAACTTTTTTTGGTTCGTCATTATAATGTTGATAAGGTTGACTGTTCTTATTATTCTTTTTGATAACAGACTTTAGATGGCCACCATTATTGACTTGTTGTGATTGAATTCTATTATAAAAGTTATGACTCTGTTGTTGTTGAGGATGGTGATGGTGATGATGATGGCTAAAATATTGATAAAAGTTTGAAGTCACAGTTTCACCAACACTATTTCGACGCCTAAACGGTACAGTTTGTTCTAATGGCGGAGGACTACTAGACGTGATTTCTCGAAGTTTACCAAAAAACCTAGTACCAAAAGATGTTGGTAGTGGTACGACTGGCTGATCATATCTACTAAACGTTATCGGAGCAGGAATAGGTTGAGCTATTTGAAGTGGTTGTTGACGGCGACTGGGACCACTACTCCTGCTCCTTGTTCTACCACCCTGTCGAGTAAACCGTCTTTGAGACTCGTACCTACCATCCGGTCTATCATAGTCGGCGGTCGACCAAAGTCTCTCAGCGGATGACTGGGATTGAGCAGGTTGAGAATTTTTCACGTCAGTTGAAGTTGCTAATTTCCTATCAGGTTCCGGGCTTGAAGGAACAATGCTATTGTTAACGGTCACTCGAATGAATTGTCCCCTGACGACTTTTTGCTGTTGCCTTCCACTACTACCGTCGTCTTCAGTTTTTGCCTTATATTTTCTCCTCTCCGGTCGTTGTGGTGGTGGCATATTTTCATCATTGTTATCATGACAAATTATAGTTTCGTTTGGTACAGGTGAATCTGGTGTACTAATGCTTATAATACTCGATGGGGCTCCATCTTTGTGTCGTAAATCTGACGAGTTACCCGTCAATGTTACAATAGGACCTGAAGTTACTTCGATATGCGTCACGCCATCTGTATCAGTTCGTTGTACCAAATTGTACTTGTTCACCTCAGTAACAGGTTGTGGCGTATTTGTAGTATTACCTACGGGCACTTTGCGTCGTGTCACTGAGCTGTTATTACTGCCGGAAGGTCCGTTCCACGGTTTCGCTTCTAACTTATACCTCTTACTCTGATCTTGATAACTCTGGCAAACATCAGGCAATTTATTATCACGACCTCGGACCACAATTGCCTCTAGTCCACTTCCACAAGTCGTAGACGTTTTCCGATTTTTGATCACCCACACAGCGATACCGGGTAAAGTGACGGCATCAGTGTGGCAAAAGGCAACATCCGAGAATAAATAAATTTCACGATCATTTTCGCCAGTGGTCACTGTTGATACAACGTGCTGTTCTTTTAAAAAAGAAGAATCGGCGTCATCACTGTCTTCGGACACTCCACTGCTATTAGCACTGTCTGAACTCGCTATTACCGTTGTCGGTATTCCTGTTTTTTGAGACGTGCCCTTATTAGGATCTTCATACGAACCTAAAGATGCTAAGTCCTCATCAGACTCGAACCCTTCATCATCTGGCCTTCTTTGATATGGTACAATCTCCAAACCAATATCCCGATTACCACCGCATATAACAGAACAGCGTCTCCCGGGTAGTCGACTTCGCTGCTGTTGTTTGCATAATTGCTTAACAAATGCAGCTAGACTATCTGAATCCGTAGAACCCTGAATGGGTCCGCGTCCTAACAGTTCACAGTCAGCTGAAATGGTGTTCATCGTCATCTAAAACAAAAATCAGTCTTTGTTATGGATAATTTATAAATTACATTTATCTTTAGTTCATGAACAAAAAAATTTGGTATTTTTATCATTTTTTATGTAAAATACCTATGACTCTAACGCCCATGAAAAGTTATTGAAACTTTGAAATAGTAAAAATTAACAACTATTAAAAATGCATAATAACATTTTATTACTTATTGTTTTTTTATTATTATTTTATTGGATGAGTAATTCAATTTTATAATGTAACCGTATAATAAAAATATACGTGTAATTAATTGAATTTATTTTTAATATAGTCAAATAAAATTACAATAATTAATATTTATTTTATAGTCACTAGTAGTAAAATAGTAAAAATTTTAATGCAATAATTTATTCATATTTAATGCTTAAAAGAGTGTAAATAAGTAATTTTTTATAACAACAAAATTAATGTTATTTACAAGAACCCGAAATATTTATAATGCTATTATATTTAAAGTATAAATTGTATTCCTGATTACTAAAAATTATAAGTGTTTTAGTACTTAAAATTCTAATTAACATATTCAAGAAGAGCCAACTATTATATATGAGCCATTGCTATTTTCTATATATTTTTGGATAAATTGACTTAAGAGCAAACATAAGATTATTTTGAAGTTAATGATTATTTATAATCATTTGGAGGCTAAATATTACATATTAAATAAATATTAAAAAATAAATATTTATATATTAAAAATGTTAATCTGTAAGTCTAAAATTTGCAATAAAAAGTAAAATATAATAATGAAAAAACCTTAATAGGTGTTTTGTAAAGTATAAATCAACTTTAATTTACTGAAGTTATATTTAGAATAAATGTTTACAATATAAAATAACTCTAATTGAAAAATATTTTTTACATAAAACAATTTAAATTTAATAATGGAAATAATGGAATAAATTCAAAGCAGTAATTCCATTACTGCTTTAAAGGCCTTCAAATTCAATACCATAATATTATAATTACATTCAAACTTAATATATTATAAATAAAATTTTAAATACTCTAAATGTGTTTAAATTAGCATGAACTTTCACTTTCCGTCCAGACCTTAAATATAATTATTTTTTATAATAGTCAATGCTATATATGAATCAACGTTTCATTAACATAATAAAATCTAAATAGTTAAATAAATACGAAATATATATCACAAATATTATGAGCTATTTATTTCAAATAAAATATGAGAGATTTGTTGAATTGTTTTGAATTTTCTACAGTTTATAAAATTCTAGTATTCAGATATGATATTAAAAGGCTACTTAAAACATTTTGCAAGAAATTATTAAATATCAATTGAAAAAACAACAGTAAATGGTTTAATAGGTTTACTTGGCTAAACTTAACTATAATCACATTTTAACAGTAGGTCACACATGTAGAGCATAAAAGTCATAAAACTGTGCAATCATAGAGGTTCAGATCTACGCATCTTTTAAACAAAAGTATCTATTTAATTGTATATTAAATGGTTAATCATTCCGTTAATAGGTTATAGAAGTCTACCGACACACTTAACTATAATTGTATAAATATTAGTGATTTATTGATAATCTACAAACAAATTCATTTATTACATCATTTATCACCTACGTTTTTTGCTATAAATACACTATAATTAAAATAATTGTTTGTTTTGAAGATAGTAATTTTTTAAGAAGTTTTAGAATAAAAAAGAAATAAGTTGCGTAATCTATAAGTAAATGCAAATTTAAGTCTATGAACTCACTTATTATAAGCGAAGATAAACGACTAACGATTATGTAATGGTTCTAAAAGATTGACATCATTTATAGTAAATAATATATTTAAAATTTAGTCAATGATCTGTTGAATATCAGTGTGCATTTTAAAATTAATTTTTTTACATAACAAAATATAGGTGACCAACAAAATTGATTTAATAAATAGCATTGAGTAACAGTTAATCGTAAAATTAAAATCATTGAAACAATCTCCTATCTTAAGGTGTGTGATGGGATATAAGATCTGACAACTGTTTATTTCATTATGTCTGTAGGGTATTGCAGCTTCACAGAGAGGACCGTATTGCTTTATACGTTATCATAATTTATTTTCGTCATATTAGTAACACACTTCGAAGATTGATTTCGCTTTTTTTATACGTGTGTTATTACATTGAAGATCGTTTAAGTCTCCAAGTTCAACCTAACCATTGCAGTACTAATAGACGAAATGAAGAAAAAAATCTATAACATAATTTTAATAATAATAACGTACAAGATACATTACTATTAAAAGACTCAATAATTTATTCTCTACCCTACCAACTTTACATATTTGTTTCTATCAATTAATAAAAATAAATTCTTAGTGCTATCGACAAGAATGGTATAGCTTCTTGAACTGAATATCGTGTCTATTTTGTATGTTTATAAAAGCAGTGACAGAATTCAATTGCAAGTTGCGCGAGAGAAAGTCTTAAGATATGTATAACAAAACATAATATAATAATACTCTATTGGTCATAGTCCTAGCGGTCAGGTTTTCTTTGATGGATAAAATTTACGTGTTTTGCGATAGTAATTTTTTGATAATTTATATACAAACTTTCTCTGAGTTCAATTCAAAGGAATTGACCTAAACAACAGACATTATAGTATTAAGTTATTGGTTAATTAAACATAGTTACGCAAAAATTTATATTACACCCAATATATTAAATAATTGAACTAAATTTAAAACGTACGCAAACAAATAATATAATATGTTATAAGAATTATATATAGTATACACGAGGCGTCTATGGATATTAAAAATATATATGTTTATGATTAATGTTTGTAAAAACACCATTTGGTACATAATAAATTTCAAGGTTTGTACTAAAGAAGGGTTAGCAAGTGTCTTGTAAAAATTTTACATGTCAACCATCATTCGTACTATTTTTATTTTTTTAATGTATTTAAATATTAACTGGTAAGTAAGTGCTCATTGACTAGAGGTCATACGTTACTAGAGGACATGTAAGTCGTGATTGTTATGGTTTAACCACAATTGGATGTCGCTAATTAATAGAAAATGCTTACTAATACTATATTAAGTAACTCGACCGAGTTCTTTAGAAATACACATTATTAATGATGGACTATTCAAATGCACATGGACTGAATTTTTGCGCTTTCTGTAGACAGTTTTAGAGCAATAGTAATAATCACTCGACTGACATTCAAAAAATTACAACACCTGTCCGCTTACGTTGTCGTGATCATCCTTCGTTTGCGTTTTTAACAACAAGGTGTCATCTATTCGAGAAATGTTGCAGTTATACAACATCTCTGTACAAATAGTGCTACCGTTTTTACTTTTATTACATTATGGTCGTATTTTAAATGAGCCGTGAGCAACGACAACTGCCTACTACCTCACAGTTCGGGTTGGGTTTTGTCAAATACACTTATGACAAACAGCCATCATAATGTGACAGAAAGTACGTACTTCAGTAGAGGATGCATACACGATTAACCTTCAAAATCGTTTGTTACCACAATTTACATCACCAAAAATAGAGAGTTGAAAATTGATGCGTAACATACACCATCTCAAAGTAGTTAGTTTAATTATACTTCGCGCAATTTTCTCAATGCAGTAAAAAAATTAATTTCCCTCGACGTCTAGCACAAATATTTTATGTGCAAACAATACTTGCGTTGCTTATCGACAATCGTTTATGCCCATCCTCTATATACATAAGGTTTTTTCTGGATAAAATATCCTGAAGTTTTTTTCTGATAACAGTATACTTTAGTAAACAAAAATACTAGTAAGAATAAACAACCAACCTTTATTTTTTCCGTTAAATATTTGACAAATCAAACCTTACCCAGATAAAAATATTTATTATAGAAATTATATTCAGATTTTTTCATAAAGTTATATGCATAATATGTTCAGGCATAGTTTAAAAATCTCCAAGTAAAATTAAAATAGTAATGGAATTAGTTAAATAACTATAAAATTGAAACATAGAAAGTATGGTTATTCAAATTACGCGAACTTGTAATTAAACATCAGTTGAATCAATACGATGCCTCGAGCAATGATTCTTTATATTTTCTTTGAATTATACAGATTGTTGAATTAAACATACTGGTTGATTTGTTTATCATTTACCACTAAATTTCTCCTAAATTTCAATGTTAAAAATAACGTTGAAAATATTTTTTCGGTTTTGTTTACTGTTATTTATTTTTTGATTTATAAGTTATTAAACAACTTTTACGTCAATCCTTTATCATTTATAAAGATATCAATTTATTTTTTTAATTACAACAAATATATTAAACAACCTCATATAGTAGATAATAAATCAGTATTTCAAAAGTTATTTAGAACTATTTTACATAAACTGGGAGTAGGATACAAAATTATGTTATTATTAAAATTACGTATTTGGCCTTAACTCAGGTTTTAAAATATTAATAACTCTTTAACAATTAAAATAATTCATAACCATTAATTATTATGATTTCAAAAGTTGTAATCGATCAGTTATTTTCTTAGTTAGAACATTTTCTAACGTCTAAAACAATTTAATATGTATATTATCATACAAAAAATATACCTGATACCCATATAAAAAATGAACTTAAAAATATTTAGCCAACTTAAAATCAAGAAGTAAATAAAACCAAAAAAAAATGTTTTAATTATTACTAGTATTATTATTATTATTTTAATTTTAGAAGTAATCTAGTGGTCAATGATATCATCCTGTATATTATTTATTATAATTTTTTTTTTAACTTGAGTTCTATTAAAAATTGAAATGTTTTCGTATAAAGTTATTGTGCGAGTGATATTCTCATTGAATCAAATTCAAATAGCAAAAGTTCCTAGTTATTTTGTGGTCGTTTATAAATAAATGGCAACAGGTTTATAATATTAAATGCAATAGAAAAAGAAACGTAAACATTTCCTGAATAAATTTTTGTTAGAGTAGATG